GCTGTGAGTGTGGCGGCAGCGATTCAGAAGGTTGTCGGGGATCTTAACGTTTATCAGCTCGGAGGCTTTGAGAGGGTGGGGATCAAGACTTACAAGGTAGTCGAGGAGTCGATAATGCTAGGTGAAGCTTCATTAAAGGTTGGAATCAAGACTGAAGAATCTGAAGTATAACACACTGAAGCCGTGGGATGGTCTGAAGTTGGGATCGATAGAAGCTCATCTTGCTGATACTTGCTTTCTGAGGTTTGGTGGCTGGCTCACAGCCACCCAATCGCCATGAGGGTCTTTTCTCAATGCTACCATGAGTGGGGGGATCTCTGTGGTGTGCATTTGGTGTATAGGTCTCCCCTGTTTGTTTTTAGGATCAAGCACTGTGACTTGTTTTTGTACTTTTTCTTTTTGTGGTTGTCATCAAGGTTATCAAATCGGGATACGAATTGTGGATCGGAAAGCCTATTTTTCGAATCTTGAATCGAAACTTATCATGAATCGTAAGATTCATGTACAATTATTAAAGATGATATATAGGTAATTTTATAGAAGAGAACCTCAAAAGTTTGTAGATATTAGGTTCTATATACCTCACAAAAAATAAAAAAAGCCAATGTATATCAAATTTCAAGAACAAATAGTCTCCAAAGTCAACTAGGGAATAAAAAATTAGGGTTTTGATTGGTATTTGATAAGCTGAAAGTAATAAGTGCATTAGGGAGTATTTATATGATAGATTGTCTCCTATAAATAACAAAAAAAATCAGAAAAAATAAACATGAAAAAGGTTTTTTAACGTGTTGAGTCAGATCCAGCATGACTCAACACTGCCTGAATCGCATGATTCTGGTGTGAATCGCACTATTTACGTCACAAAAAGATACAATGGGAGATTCGTATCTTTTATTGTCTATTTTATCTCGAATCGCAAGATTCGAATCGCGAATCGTGGGATTCTAACTACAATGGTTGTCATGTTTGATCTGTCTTCCCCTTTTCTTGTGGGTTATTTTTGTTTGTTCTGGATGCTGGTTTACTTCTGCCATGATCACTCTTTCTTTGCTATTTGGTATCAAATTTCAAAGGTCTCTTCACCCCTCTGTCATAGAGGGGTTTGTTGAAGCTGCTTTCGTCTTTGCAGCACTGGCATCAAAGAAGGTGGGCCCGGGAGAGCATGTCTTTGGACTTTGGACAACCACTCTCTATTGTTGTTTCTTTTGATTATGGTGGAATAAAAACTGGCCTCCTCACTTTCAATCTGCAAGTTTAGGCTAGTTGTCATTATTCGGTTTGTCTCTGTAGCTCTGCGGTGTCGTTTGGCTGTTGTCTTCGTTTCTTTTCTCTTTTCTGCATAAGTGTATCTGTTACGTTTTTCTTTTAATGATATTAAGCTTTTGCGGTTAAAAAAAAAAAAAGGTTCATGCGCGGAACTTTTTATACATATATATATTTTTATCAAGTCATTTAAATTTATTCCGTTAATTAGCTATGTTAGTACCTAATGTTTAAAACCGTTTAACAAGGGCTAATGCCTAATGGTGTTATGAAATCTGTGAAACTATGCTGATGTGACGGACAAGACAAATATTTATAAATGAATATGATTGAGCATCCACAAGTCAGAAAGAAACAGAGCAAGAAGATTCATTGACTAATTGTTAATTGCAGAGAATGGCTTAGGGCAGAGACAGAGGCAAGGGAACAAATTAAAGACTGACTAAGGCATAAGAATTAATTGCTCTCCATTTGAATAATTTTACAATTTTTTTTTATTGCAATTTGTTTACTCTATTTTCAAGTCAATGTATCAGGCTAAAATGGATAAAAAACCAAATTCAACAAACGGATTCGTTTACACTGCGCGTCTTCTTCCATCAACATGGATATCGTTATGTTTTTCAACGATTAAATGTTTGAGATAGTCAAGCTGAGCGGAATAATATAAGAAACGTGGTGCAAAATGATTTTCCCCCCTCATATGAAATAAACACTAATCACTAATGAAATGGAGAGACAAAAAAGGGCTCTGTGCCATGCATCCTGTGTCGGTTTAGGCTCATTTGAAGTTGAAGACTTCCGAGTATTGCGCTTAATTAGGGAGGTTTTTCTCAATCCATCTTCCTGCTTCAAAGTTTCATTGGATAAACAGATAGATAAGGTGTGTGTATGTGATGAGCATAAGTCCAAGGGGAGAGCCAAATCCCAAAAGACTAGCCTATTGGGAGGGAGAGCCCCTTGAACTTATAAACCCCACAATACTTGTGAGATTCTCCAATGTGGGACTCATAACAGAGCACCCCTCTCGAGAGCCGACGTCCCCGGCGGCTCCACTCTACGGCACTTCACTTGGTCTTCTTACCAGTCAGAACCCTCCGCAGGTAGCCCTTTCCGGTTGGCCGACTCTCAATGAAAGCACCAATGTGATGAGCATAAGCCCAAGGGGAGAGCCCAATCCCAAAAGACTAGCCTATTGGGAGGGAGAGCCCCTTGAACTTATAAACCCCACAATACTTGTGAGATTCCCCAATGTGAGACTCATAACAGTGTATTGTACAGAGTTTGAGTCCAGACATGCTGGTTATGTGTTATGGAAATGCAGCTAATATATATTGTTCATTGTATATTGCGAATCTAGGCTGGTTTGAAATATAGTATTGGAGCGTGCTATACTTTGAATCTTACTTTATCCATGTTCTGATAATATTTTAAAGTTACTTAATAACTTCTTTTTTTTGGAAAAAAATAAAGTGATTGATGATTCCTTGGAAACTAACGCAAGCAAACATTTGTTCCATTTATGCAATATATATTTCTGGTGAGACGGACTCAATTCTTTTCTTTCTTTTTTTGGGTATACTAAAGTTTACTACAATTTAGGTTAGTTGGATTCCAGGGAATCACCAGGGCTAAGGTATGCCTCCAAACTAAGAGAGCGCTTACAAAGGTACTTACAGATCACCTACTAATAGGGTCCTCACATCAGCAGTGGGATTTAAACTCACTATCTTGTGGGTTATGACCCGACTTCTTACCAATTGGACTAACTCTTATTGATAGATGGACTCAATTCTACATGCAAATATTGCCTCTGTGGAGGCCGAATCAAAGAACGAGTGATAAGTGCATTTCATTCTTGTTGCTTTTTTCATTTTTCAATGCAGTTTGTTATAAAATATTTAAAATGTATGCAAGGATGAATACAAACTAAATATTCAACTGACAATGTTTAAATTAAAAAAGTTACTTTTTGAAAAAATAACAATACAAAAATATCTTTATTTTACATTCTCCCTAAAATTTGGATATACCTCACCCTCTTACTATGTGTCACTATGTATTAATTCTATTTATTCCGCAGTTCATAGGTGTTTCATAAGCCATACATTATCCAATTCTCAACTTAGTGGAAAGAAGCAGCTATTAAGGAAATAATAACTCTTAGGTAAGGAGTAGCCGCTTCCGAGATCTGAAAGGTGTCTCTCTCTCACAAAATATATATACACATATATATATTAGAAAGGAGGCCTGAGTAATTAGCAAACAAGAAGGATATATAATTTTGGCTTTTTTTTTTTTACTCAAATTGGCATTAATAAAGCGATTGCTTGTAGGTGGAGGTAAGGATAAAGTTAGAAGAATTTTACAGTTAACTCAGGCTTTTTTGCGCACGCACACACGTGTGTGTGTGTGTATATATGTTGGCGTTGTGGTGATGAACTCAGATGTACGCATAGTTTTTTTGAAGATTAATCACTGAAGCAGACCAAAGGTCGAGTTGGTAAGTGCATTTGATTCTTAGTTATATCTTAATTAATGCAATATATATAGAGTCATTTTTTTTTGGAGTATACATAGTGATATTTGTGCTACTCATTTAATTTGTTCCAATTTTGGTTTGATGGTTACAAAATAATAATGTAGGGATTGAGTTCACCATATATCGCCACTAGACAAAATGCCTGCATTCGCTCCTCCTTCTCCGTCGTATGAAGCAGAAATGGAAATAGTCGGTTCTCCTGGGGGTCGGTCTTATACACCACGAGGTCAGGTCACTCTATACAAAATTCAATCTTTATATTATTGAACCTTTCATTTTTCAGCAGCGAATGGCCTATTCAAATAATTAATTAATTTGATCATAATATATGTTTAGTCTTATAGCTGAGTCATGTCAAGAGATTACAACTGGCAATTTAGAAAATCTTTCATCTTCTTATTTATTTATTTTATTTTTTCAACGGAGGGACACATAATATTCTTTTATCGAGTTATTTTACAATATTCTAAATATAGAAAGATTGATCGCTTGTTTTATTAGTCAATTATATGTTTAGGGCTTGTTTGTTTAATCTCGCTTTTTAAGAAAACGTTTTTTCCCCAAAAGGATGCTTTTGAAAAATATTATGATCTGATTTTCAAATTATTTAAAAGAGTAATGGTTGCTTAGCTCAACCATTTTCTTTTGAGTTATGGTTAATAAGAAAGCACTGTTTTAAATAGCAAAAAGAAAAAGAAAAAACTTTTTCGAAAAATTTGAACAAACATATTCTAAATCCTTAAAAATAATTAAAACGTAAAAAAAATTACTAATTATTTTAAGTAGTTTATGAAAATAGTCAAATGTAATAGTTGTCATAAAAATAAAGAAATACCCAAATATATTATTAAATTTAAAAATAAATAAGTAATATATTAATTTTTTGACTTTAACCAAATGCAAAATTATTTCTACATTTTATAAAATCAGTAGAATAGTATATTATTCTCCATAAAATTTCTAAATCAGACAAAAACCACTTTTTTTTGTTTGTTTTAAACATGAACAAACCATCGCATGTCTTCGGCTATACAACCAATAGATGGATCCCCTCATATCACCCTAGATATAGGGAAAGAGGACCAGGATACATCTAACACACAAGCAGCCAATATCTCTCTGTGTTTCTTTTCCCTTCACTAGACCCTCCATAAATATTGCAGAGATTCAAATTAACATAGAAGCAGATAAGATGGCACGGTCATTCGGCATAAGGCGAGATAGAGAATACTGGCTAAATCAAATACAGAGGAAAATATTGGATAGAGGAGTGAGTGATTTGGGAGAGATAAGGGAAGATATACAAGGACGAATTGGGGAACAAAGAAGCATGGCGACCGAGGAGGAAGAAAGACACACAAAGGAGGTTGCAGAGGAGAATAGATTGTATAAAGCTATATGTGATAACAACTGGGAAATTGCAAAAGCATTGTTAGAGGAAAAGCCAAATGCCTTAACCTCAACAATTACCGCTTTTGGGGAAACACCATTTCATGTGGCTGCCTTCTTTGGTCATGCCAACATAATGGAAGAGTTGCTGAAACTGTTAGAGAATCCAGAATTCCTAGAAACTATTGATCATTGTGGCTATACGCCACTCTTAGCTGCCACCGTCACTGGAAGCATTGAAGTTGCCAAATGTCTAGTGGACAAGAATTCCTACCCACCTTGCATTCCGTACTACCCAAGATCCGAACTTCCTGTTACGTCGGCTTTTGTCAGTGGTCATCATGAAATGGGACATTATCTTTATTCTCAAACTCGATTGGAATACCTCCAACCCCGCCATCTCGGTCATCCTCTTGGTCCTACTCTTCTTCGTTGTTGTTTGCAGACACAACGTTTCGGTACGTAATATCTATAATATAATAACTACCTATTAATAACTTTATATTAAATAAAAGGAATTTAGCTAAAACTAGTTAATACTTTTAAATTTTCTAAATTATCTCAATTAGAGTGGGTTGTTTAGTTGATCAAAACAAAAGGGTCTTACACTAATAGAAGGTTGTTATAATTATTGTTTCCGCATTCAGTATATATTATTTATTGTGTGAATGTTATACTCAGATATCGCTCACCACTTGCTTACTCAATGCCAAGAATTGCTTTTTGCTTCTGATGAGAAGGATTGGAAGCCAATTCACGGCATCATATCCATGACTTCTAAAATTCCTAGCCCAACTGAACTTGTCTTTTGGAAACGATGGATCTATGACGGTTAATATCTCTTCTTAAATATTTCTAATAACTTCATTTTCTTTCTTATCATACTATTATATTTACTCCTTTTTTTTATTGGTTTGTATTATATGCTCTCCTTTGTTAGATATGGATACAAATTCAACTCCAAGTTTCCAAAGTGCTTCTTTACCCACCCAAAATGAAGACGAAGACACAAGGGAAAGAAAACAGGGGAAACTAACAGGGCCAGGTAGCAAAATATGTCTTCTTTTTTTTTCCCCCTTCTTTGGATGATCAACTTCATCTTTAATTAAAATTCTTATAGAAAAAGACGTGAAACAAAACATTGTTTGAACCTTTCCTTTATATAAGCCGAGCTTTCCTTTAATTGCTTCCTTTTTCCGTTTTTCCTTTTGAAGTTGCAGCAGGACATCGTCTGCTTCGATGGCTCATCTTCTCTGCTTATAATTTTAGAGGTAGGCGTATCTTCTAACTAGCATATCATGCTTCCAAAATTACATACTATTCTTAAGTTTTTATTATTAGATAGTATAACTTGTTATAAATTTTATATTTGATATTGGCGATTATTATTGAATTTATTGATATATTGATGTACACTGATATCGATTCTCATCAACTCAGCTAACAAAAGAAGATTACGTACCATTGTAGGAATCAAGAAGATAAAAGAGATGAAGTTACAGCAAGCAAAAGCAAATAAACTTGTTGATCTAGTTTGTAGGAATGCAAGCAATAGATATGAAGTGCAAACTATTGCAGATGCGTTATTTCTGGCAGCGAAAGAAGGGAATGTTGAGTTTGTGGTTAAAATATCAAAGGCAAATCCTGGAATCTTGCTCAGAGGGGATGACTCATTTCGAAACATTTTCCACCATGCCATTCAGCATCGACAAGCTGGGGTTTTCAACCTTATCCATGGGCTTCGCTTCAAGGATGTCTTTGCTACAAGCAAAGATAAAGATGGAAATACTTTGCTGCATGCGGCAGCTGCAAAAGCTCCTGGCACCATTCTTAACCGCATCTATGGACCAGCGTTACAAATGCAAAGAGAGCTACAATGGTTCAAGGTTAGTTTTGAAATTCTCATGAGAGATAGCTTATTAGTCATATGAAATTCCACATCAGTGCTTTTTTAATATCGAACTGGTAATTAAATCAGTGACATTATTGATTAGTTTAAGGTTCACTGAAACAAAAACACATGCATTGATTTTCCTTTTTCTTTAATTTCTGTTGTCCTCTAAAACATTAAATTGATTATATATATACTCATCCAATTCTAAATGTAAGACCTATTTTGTAGTGCAAATTGCACTTCAAAATATGTCCTATATTAAGGACTGGAGGAAAATATATATATATATATATATATATATAGTGTCTGATTTTGTTTAGAATGTGAAATACAATGCCTTTGTTGGCATTTAAATATAAATTAACACCATTTGAAATAAATGCAGGAGGTTGAGGGGATAACGCCTCCAAACTTTAGGGTACTTCAAAACAGTAGAGGTATGACAGCTGAAGAAACATTTAGAGAACATCACGGAGGACTAATGAAGCAAGGAGAAAAATGGATAAAAGCTACAGCCTCTTCATGCTCAGTTGTCGGAGCTTTAATTGTTACAATTATGTTTGCAGGAGCTTTTACTGTGGCTGGAGGAAATGATGAAAATATTGGATACCCATTATTCATCAAACAACCATTTTTTAAGGTCTTCATCTTCTCAACCATATTATCACTTCTCTCCTCTTCAACTTCTGTTTTAATGTTTTCGGCAATCCTAACCTCTAAATACTCAGAGGAAAAGTTCCTCAAGTCCTTGCCTACAAAGTTGATTTTGGGTCTGTTTGTTCTTTTCATCTCCATTGTAAGCATGATAGTAGCCTTTCTGTCTACCATTCGTCTTATGCTAAAACACACAAACTACTCATGGGGTCTCCTTCCAATTATTATCTTTGCAAGTGTCCCCATCTTCCTCTTTGTGCTGTCACAATTCCCTCTTCTTCTTCACACTTTTGTTTCTACGTATGGGACTATCTTTGACAGGAAAGTCAAGCCTTGGCCTTGAGATGGATTTGTAATTGACGTACCGCTTTGTTCTTCTATTATTGGAATAATTACGATTTGATATTTCTTATCGATCAATTACGTTGACACGATCTTTAATAAGAAAAGAAGCTGTGGCTGTTGCAAATGTTATTATGACATGCAATATTATTGATACTCTTAGAACGGTTCAAAGCTTCATTTATCAAATAGTATGTGCCTAGAGAATTTCTTCTGATAAGAAGAAAATGGATGTACAGAGATTTCATTTCGGCTTTGCCGGAAGCCGAAGATAACCAACCCTTTAATGCTGTAACAGCATCAGTTCAACTTTCGATATTGATGGCCTAAACCTGTAGTTTCAATATAAGCCCGACGGCCTGAACAAAATGGAATATAATTAAGGACCAAGTTTTGCCAAATTGCTTGGGAGGGTAGAGGTGTAAAGTGTCTATTATATGACAACAACATAAAATTCATTAACTAACTTTCTCTTGTTTTATTTTTTATCATCCTTCACTTAACGAAAGAAAATCACACTCCAGCATAATTATGAAGAGTCCAACATAACATCAAATTTAAGTAAGCTTTAATAGGATATTTAGTGTTAATGCACCTATATATCTCTCTCTTGTTTAACCTATGCAAAGTGTCTTAAAGCAAGTGTTAATAAATAAGAAAGTTGAATCTTCTATAGTGATGTACTACGGGAGAAGGGAGTGAGAAATTAAAAAGAAATAATTTTTTAAAATTAATTAATATCTCAAATTTTCAATCTATATCTTTTTTTAGTACTCCCTAATTGTTGAGCTGATTTTGGTCTTAAATGTAAAACCTATTTTTGATATTTATCAATATTTATCATTTTTCTAAATTATTCCTACACATACTCCCTCAGCTATAATCAAGTACGAGAAGGAGGGAAGATGTCAAGAAAGATAATTATGGTACTATAGGAAAAACATGTTATATTTTTTATAATTAACTAACTTACCTGACTTTTTTAATCTAGTTAAATTAGTTAAATAAGTCTTATATTAATGACCAGATCATTATTATCGATCTTCTTCCCTAGGCTGAGGCTTAAGGGTAAAGCTATACTACTTCCGGTCCTAATTATAAGAGCCAGTTGACTAATTTGAGGAGATTAAGAAAGTAAGTTGAGTTAGTTATTTGTCCCAAAATAAATGTTGTCTTTCCTAAAATATCCTTACTAATCAAGTGTATTGACTAGAACTATCATTATTAGAAGGTTTATTTTGGAAAAAAATGTATAAATATGAGAGACAAAGTGGATTGAGATCTTATATTTAGGACCAAAATAAAGTTAAACAGGGTATTATATTAAAGACCGGAGGTAGTATATATTAGGTGCCGACTGAGCTTGAAGCCTTGAACCCCTGACTATTTCTCTTTGAGTTCTCTCTTTATCTATCATGACTTCTCTCTCTCTATTTCTCATTTGCCGTTCCCCTGCTTTGTGCATTTTTTGGACAATGAATCGACAAATTAAATTTAGGTCAAAGTTCAAATTTGTACGAATAAAAATTTTTTTGTATATGTCACAGAAACGTCAATGTTACGTCACATAATTGCTTAGAAAAACAAGTTATATTAAATGTCAAAATACAGATTCGTACCACTGAACACAAAATAAAAATTATGTCCCCAGAACACAAGATATCCACGGCCAAGCCAATTATTACTTTCTATGCTTAATATAAGATCCAATTGACTGATTTGAAGAGATTAAGAAAGTTACTAAATTACTTCATTATAGTATAGATCTTTCTAGAATATTTATATAGATCATTAGATTATATCAATTTATATGTGAGACAAACTAGTTTGGAGAAAAAGGATAAATATAAATAGTTTAAAGTAATTTAGCAATTTTCTTGATTTTCAAATTAATCAATTGAATCTTATATTAATGAACAGAGGTAGTATACGAAATTTGTTTTGTTAATGAAAGTACAGCATTTCGTTAGATCTCAGAGATAATATAAAGAGACAACAAGCGTCATCTTCCCTCTTCGAACTCCCACCTCTTGTCTAATAAGTAGAGGGTGACTCGAGATATGGAAATTAGTCTCCATGCTGTGGGATGACTTTTCTAGAAACTTAGCCAAAAGCACAAAAAAATCAAAGTTGTATATGAGTATGGTCAATGATCACAGCCTCTCAATCCTATAAATAAGAACCTAGTATTATGAATAACATAATATCCTTGTAAGCATGATTAAGTACTATCACACCCTCTAGTTATCAAATTAATGGCTTCTATATGATTTTTTTTTTTTAAAAAAAAAAGAGGCCTATATTTCTATACTCTCTAGACCAGCACAGGTTAAGCCCATGCATAATTTTGATCCTCTCTGAAATTGCTGGAAGAACTACTGTAAGTTTGCAACTGTAGCCACAAATTCATCTTCCCCCACTATGCCTGATACCAAGGACAGACTCAAAGTTATACTGGAGCAGAATGCATGACTCTCGATTAGGTCCTTGTCCAAACCAGCCCTTAGCGTTATGATAATCCTCGTTCAGGGTTGCGTCACAGAGCTAACCACACCTAGACACCCAAAAAGTATCACCGCCGAATCTTCTCAGTGTAACTCTGACCCACTTGATTTCCTGTAAAGATGACAACGAAGGCCACATAGCCGGAGATAATGGAGTTTTTTTTCAAAAAAGAAAATAATAGTTTCGGCCACAGGAGAAAAGTCGAATAAGATGCCTTTTTATTCGAATTTGAAAGTAGTTTAACGTTATAAAGTATATTCCGATTTTTAAATAATGTTTAATTAAAAAAAACAGCCCTTTACTTTTTAAAAAATGTTATGATAAATAATAATTAAGTATTAATTAAATTATTTTACTTGAATGCATTATAGTTATCGATTGATTATTTTAATCAATTAATGAGCTAAATAGTTTCTTTCACACTAGTTAAAAAAAGGGACAATGACCAAAAAAAGAAGCTGAAATTTTGTAAATACCAAATAAAGAATGTCAACAAAAATTTGTAGTCACTTGCAAATTCAGACTTGTTAATCAAAGAAATTTGTGTTACTAAACCTGATTTGGAATTTGTAATTTTCAGCTTCTTTTTCTGTTATTCTCCTTAAAAAAATCATGTGAATGAAGTCATCTTAAGAAGTTTTAAATATTCTTATTATGAGTACATTCACTAATTTTGTAGTTGACTTTATGACATAAACAGGTGAATAGCACTGGTTAATATTTTTTGGTTAAAATTTTTCTTCCTTATAAAAATAATCTTAGTATAAATATATGCACTGATTATTCAAAAAATGATTGATATTGTCCTAAATAATTAATTTTATTTTATGTGCATAACGGGTTCATATTTCATAATAACCAAATGAGACAGCTTGCTCCAATGACAATAACAAAATCCAAAGTGAAAGCTAGAACAACTTCAAGTGGAATATATATTTGGAATTTTGTCCTTTTTATCTCTTTTTTTTTAGTGTATTTTTTCTTTTTTTTTTTTTCTTTTTTTTTTTTTCCTTTTCTTCTTTCCTTTTCCTTTTTTAAGAAATGTTGGTGACGAGCCCTCCCTCGAATGATCGATACTGATATTCAGATATACTATGAAATCTATAATTAATTTACATTGTTTTAGGCAATGACAATGTGATTTCCAGCAACATATCGAAAAAGTTCCCATATAACACTCCCCCCCATACAGATGACATGATCCTGTAAACTATATTTCTCATCGTGAAATTTTCTGCCTGTTTCTTGTAAATTCTCTCTCTCTCTCTCTCACACACATTGGCACACGAAATTTTGTGTGGCATCTTCTGCTATTTTCTCTTATTTTACTTTTCTTTAATTTCTAATTATTTGATACTTTTTTAATTCCTCTTATCTTTCACGCAATTCCGAGAGAAAATAAAATGATAGATGATTCCTTGGAAACAAACGCCAGCAAGCTTATTTTGTGTGTGTGTTCCATCACTGCAATATTATATTGCTGGTGAGATGGGCTTTTGTGGAGGTCGAAGCAAGGAAAGCCTTGGTAAGTGCATCGTTTTTTCACACACACACACACAATAAAAGGAATTTATTTAAACTTAGTTGATACTTTTAAATTTTCTAAATTATCTCAATTAGAGTGGGTTGTTTAGTTGATCAAAACAAAAACGTCTTTCACTAATAAAAGAATGTTATAATTATTGTTCCCATTCAGTATATATTATTTATTGTATGAATATGATACTCATATATCGATCACTACTTGCTTTCTGAGGTTTGGTGGCTGGCTCACAGCCACCCAATCGTCATGAGGGTCTTTTCTCAATGCTACCATGAGTGGGGGATCTCTTGTGGTATGCATTTGGAGTATAGGTCTCTCCCTGTTTGTTTCTAGGATCAAGCACTGTGACTTGTTTTTGTACTTTTTCTTTTTGTGGTTGTCATGTTTGATCTGTCTTCACCTTTTCTTGTGGGTTATTTTTGTTTGTTCTGGATGCTGGTTTGCTTCTGCCATGATCACTCTTTCTTTGCTATTTGGTATCAAATTTCAAAGGTCTCTTCACCCCTCTGTCATAGAGGGGTTTGTTGAAGCTGCTTTCGTCTTTGCAGCACTGGCATCAAAGAAGGTGGGCCCGGGAGAGCATGTCTTTGGACTTTGGACAACCACTCTCTATTGTTGTTTCTTTTGATTATGGTGGAATAAAAACTGGCCTCCTCACTTTCAATCTGCAAGTTTAGGCTAGTTGTCATTATTCGGTTTGTCTCTGTAGCTCTGCGGTGTCGTTTGGCTGTTGGTCTTCGTTTCTTTTCTCTTTTCTGCATAAGTGTATCTGTTACGTTTTTCTTTTAATGATATTAAGCTTTTGCGGTGAAAAAGAAAAAAGGTTCATGCGCGGAACTTTTTATACATATATATATATATATATATTTTATCAAGTCATTTAAATTTATTCCGTTAATTAGCTAGTACCTAATGTTTAAAACCGTTTAACAAGGGCTAATGCCTAATGGTGTTATGAAATCTGTGAAACTATGCTGATGTGACGGACAAGACAAATATTTATAAATGAATATGATTGAGCATCCACAAGTCAGAAAGAATAACAGAGCAAGAAGATTCATTGACTAATTGTTAATTGCATAGAATGGCTTAGGGCAGAGACAGAGGCAAGGGAACAAATTCAAGACTGACTAAGGCATAAGAATTAATTGCTCTCCATTTGAATAATTTTACAATTTTTTTTTAGATTGCAATTTGTTTACTCTATTTTCAAGTCAATGTATCGGGCTAAAATGGATAAAAGCCCAAATTCAACAAACGGATTCGTGTACACTGCCCGTCTTCTTCCATCAACATGAATATGGTTATGTTTTTCAACGATTAAATGTTTGAGATAGTCAAGCTGAACAGAATAATATAAGAAACATGGTGCAAACTGATTTTCCCCCCTCAGATGAAATAAACACTAATCACTAATGAAATGGAGAGGGGGGAAAAAAAAGGGCTCTGTGCCATGCATCCTGTGTCGGTTTAGGCCCATATGAAGTTGAAGATTTGCGAGCATTGCGCTTAATTAGGGAGGTTTTTCTCAATCCATCTTCCTGCTTCAAAGTTTCATTGGATAAATAGATAGATAAGGTGCGTGTATTGTACAGGGTTTGAGTCCAGACATGCTGGTCATGTGTGTTATGGAAATGCAGCTAATATATATATTGTTCATTGTATATTGCGAATCTAGGCTGGTTTGAAATATAGTATTGGAGCGTGCTATACTTTGAATCTTACTTTATCAATGTTCTGATAATATTTTAAAGTTACTTAATAACTTTTTTTTTTTGGAAAAAAATTAAGTGATTGATGATTCCTTGGAAACTAACGCAAGCAAACATTTGTTCCATTCATGCAATATATATTTCTGGTGAGACGGACTCAATTCTTTTTTTTTTTTTTTGGTATACTAAAGTTTACTACAATTTAGGTTAGTTGGGTCCTAGGGACTCACCAGGGCTAGGGCATGCCTCCAGACTGAGAGAACGCTTACAGAGGTACTTACAGATCACCCACCAATATAATCCTCACATCAGCAGCGGGATTTAAACTCACGATCTTATGGGTTATGAGCCGACCTCTTACTAACTGGACGAACTCTTGTTGGTATATGGACTCAATTCTACGTGCAAATATTGCTTCTGTGGAGGCCGAATCAAAGAACGAGTGATAAGTGCATTTCATTCTTGTTACTGTTTTCATATATGTAAGGATGAATACAAACTAAATATTCAACTGACAATGTTTAAATTAAAAAATAAAAAGTTACTTTTTTGAAAAAATAACAGTACAAAAATCCCTAAAATTTGGCTATACCTCACCCTCTTACTATATGTCACTATGCAGTAATTCTATTTATTCCGCAGTTCATAGGTGTTTCATAAGTCATACATTATCCAACTCTCAACTTAGTGGAAAGAAGCAGCTATTGAGGAAATAATAACTCTTAGGTGAGGAGTAGCCGCTTTCGAGATCTGAAAGGTCTCTCCCTCTCAAATATATATATATATATATATATATATAAATTAGAAAGGAGGCCTGAGTAATTAGCAAACAAGAAAGATATATAATTTGGGTTTGTTTTTTTTTTTACTCAAATTGGCGTTAATAAAGCGATTGCTTGTAGTTGGAGGAAAGGATACAGTTAGAAGAATTTTACAGTTAACTCAGGCTTTTTTGCGGGCGCGCACACGCGTGTGTGTGTGTGTGTATATATGTTGGCGGTGTGGTGATGAACTCAGATGTACGCACGGTTTTTGTGAAGATTAATCGCTGAAGCAGACCAAAGGTCGAGTTGGTAAGTGCATTTGATTCTTAGTCATATCTTAATTAATGCAATATATATGGAGTAATCTTTTTTGGAGTATATATAGTGATATTTGTGCGACTCATTTAATTTTTTCCAATTTTGGTTTGATGGTTACAAAATAATAATGCAGCGATTGAGTTCACCATATATAGCCACTAGCCAAAATGCTTGCATTCGCTCCTCCTCGGTCGTCTCGTCAACTAAAAGGTAAGGTCACTCTATACGAAACCCAATCTTTATATTATTGAACCTTTCATTTTTCAGCAGCGAATGGCCTATACAAATAATTAATTAATTTGATCATAGTATATGTTTAGTCTTATCGCTGAGTCATGTCAAGAGATTACAACTAGCAATTTAGAAAATCTTTCTTCTTCTTATTTATTTATTTTATTTTTTCAACGGAGGGACACATAATATTCTTTTATCAAGTTATTTTAGAATATTCTAAATATAGAAAGATTGCTCGCTTGTTTTATTACTCAATTATATGTTTAGGGCTTGTTTGTTTAATCTCGCTTTTTAAAAAAAAACGTTTTTTTCCTCCCAAAAGGATGCTTTTGAAAAATATTATGATCTGATTTTCAAATTAATTAAAAGAGTAATGGGTGCTTAGCTCAACCATTTTCTTTTGAGTTATGGTTAATAAGAAAGCACTATTTTAAATAGAAAAAGAAAAAGAAAAAAATTTTTTTAAAAAAAATTTGGATAAACATATTCTAAACTCTCAAAAATAATTAAAACGTAAAAAAATTACTAATTATTTTAAGTAGTTTATGAAAATAGCCAAATATAATAGTTGTCATAAAAATAAAGAAATACCCAAATATATTATTAAATTTAAAAATAAATAAGTAATATATTATTTTTTTGACTTTAACCAAATGCAAAATTATTTCTACATTTTATAAAATCAGTAGAATAGTATATTATTTTCCATAAAATTTCTAAATTAGACAAAAACCACTTTTTTATTTTTATTTTTTTAAAAAACATAAACAAACCATCGCGTGTCTTCGGCTATACAATTAATAGATGGATCCTCTCGTATCACCCTAGAAACAGGGAAAGAGGACCAGGATACATCTAACACGTAAGCAGCCAATATCTCTGTGTTTCTTTTCCCCCTCACTAGACCCTCCATAAATATTGCAGAGATTCAAATTAACGTAGAAGCAGATAAGATGGCACGGTCACTCGGCATAAGGCGAGATAGAGAATACTGGCTAAATCAAATACAGAGGGAAATATTTTATAGAGGAGTGAGTGATTTGGGAGAGATAAGGGAAGATATACAAGGACGAATTGGGGATCAAAGAAGCACGGCGACCGAGGATGAAGAAAGAAACACAGAGGAGGTTGCAGAGGAGGATCGATTGTGTAAAGCTATATGTGATAACAAATGGGAAATTGCAAAAGCATTCTTAGAGGAAAAGCCATATGCCTTGACCTCAAAAATTACTGCTTCAGGCAAAACACCATTTCATGTGGCTGCCTTGTTTGGGCATGTCCACATAATGGAGGAGTTGCTGAAACTGTTAGAGAATCCAGAATTCCTAGAAACTGTTGATGATTTTGGCAATACGCCACTCTTAATTGCCACCGTCAATGGAAGCATTGAAGTTGCCAAATGTCTAGTGGACAAGAATTCCTACCTACTTTGCATTCCAAACTACTCAACATATGAACTTCCTGTTACATCGGCTTTTGTCAGTGGTCATCATGAAATGGGACGTTATCTTTATTCTCAAACTCCATTGGAATACCTCCAACCCCGCTATCTTGGTCGTCCTCTTGGTCCTACTCTGCTTCGTCGTTGTTTGCAAACACAATGTTTCGGTACGTACTATCATAATATAATAACTACCTATTAATAACTTCATATTAAATAAAAGGAATTTAGCTAAAACTAGTTAATACTTTTAAATTTTCTAAATTATCTCAATTAGAGTGCGTTGTTTAGTTGATCAAATCAAAAGGGTCTTACACTAATAAGAGGGTGTTATAATTATTGTTTCCGCATTCAGTGTATATTATTTATTGTGTGAATATGATACTCAGATATCGCTCACCACTTGCTTAGCCAATGCCAGGAATTGCTTTTTGCGTATGATAATGAGGGTCGGATGCCAATTCACAGCATCGCATCCATGACTTCTACAATTCCTAGCCCAACTGAACTTGTCTTCTGGAAACGATGGATCTATGACTGTCAGTATCTGTTCTTAAATATTTCTAGTAACTTCATTTTCTTTCTTATCATACTATTATATTTACTCTCTCTTTTTTTCATTGGTTTGTATTATATGCTCTACTTTGTTAGATATAGATACAAATTCAACCCCAAGTTTCGAAAGTGCTTCTTTACCCATCCAACATGAAGGCGAAGACACAGCGAAAAGAAAACAGGGGAAACTAATAGGGCCAGGTAGCAAAATATGTCTTTTTTTCTTCTTTGGATTCAACTTCATCTTTAATTACAATTTTTATAGAAAAAGACATGAAACAAAAGCATTTTATGAACCTTTTCCTTTATATAAGCCGAGCTTTCCTTTAATTTCTTCCTTTTTCCGTTTTTTCTTTTTAAGTTGCAGCAGGACATCGTTTGCTTCAATGGCTCATCTTCTCTACTTATAATTTTATAGGTAGGTGTATCTTCTAATTAACATATCATGTTTCCAGAAATGACATACTATTCTAAAGTTTTCTACTTATTAGATAGCCTCGTATATTGTATGGAGCTCATTATAAAGTTTATACTTGATATTGATGATGATTGAATTTATTGATATATGTGTGTGTGTATATACTGATATCGCTTTTCATCAACTCAGCTAACAAAGACAAAAACGTGTTACGTACCATTGTAGGAATCAAGAAAATAAAAGAGATGAAGTTACTGCAAGCACAAGCAAATAAACTTGTTGATCTAGTTTGTAGGAATGCAAGCAAAGAAGATGAAGTGCAAACTATAGCAAATGCGTTATTTTTGGCAGCGAAAGAAGGGAACGTTGAGTTTGTGGTTAAAATTTCAAAGGCAAATCCTGAAATCTTGCTCACTGGGGACGACTCATATCGAAACATTTTCTACCATGCCATTGAGCATCGACAAGCTAGGGTTTTCAACCTAATCAATGGGCTTCGCTTCAAGGATGCCTTTGCTTGTGGCAAAGATAAAGATGGAAATACTTTGCTGCATGCGGCAGCTGCAAAGGCTCCTGACATCATTCTTAACCGCATCTATGGACCAGCGTTACAAATGCAAAGAGAATTGCAATGGTTCAAGGTCAGTTTTGAAATTCTCATGAGGTAGCTTATTGGTCATATGAAATTTCACATCAGTGCTTTTTTAACATCGAATTGGTAATTAAATCAGTAAAATTATTGATTAGTTTAAGGCTCTTTGAAACAAAAACACATGCATTGATTTTCCTTTTTCTTGAATTTCTGTCGTCCTCTAAAACATTCAATTGATTGTATATGTACTCCTAAGATCATAATTGTAAGATTCATTTTATTCATAGTATAAATTGCACCACAAAATATGTTTTGTATTAAGGACTGGAGGGGTATATATGTATTTAGTGTCTGATTTTGCTTAGAATGTGAAATACAATGCCTTTGTTGGCATTTAAATATGAATTAACACCATTTGGAATAAATGCAGGAGGTCGAGGGGATAATGCCTCCAAGCTTTAGGGTACTTCAAAACAATGGGGGTGAAACTGCTGAAGAATCATTTAGAGAACAGGGACTTCAAAGCAATAAAGGTATGACAGCTGAAGAATCATTTAGACAGAATCACAGAGAATTAATGAAGCAGGGAGAAGAATGGATAAAAGCCACAGCATCTTCTTATTCTCTTGTTGGCATCTTAATTGTCACTATCACATTTGCTGAAGTTTTTACTCTTCCGGGAGGAAAGGATCAAAATTCTGGACTCCCATTATTAATAAAACAACCGAGTTTTAATGTTTTTATACTCTCAACCGTAGTATCCCTTGTCTCTTCCTCAACTTCAGTTCTAATGTTTCTGGCCATCCTTACGTCTCCCTTTTCAGAAGAAGCATTCCTCAATTTCTTGCCTTCAAAGTTTCTTTTCGGTGTTTCTACACTTCTTATCTCCATGGTGGCTATGATCATCACATTTCTCTCTGCCATTCGCCTCACGCTGAAGCACTCAAACTATCATGGGGCTATCCTTCCCATTATTTTATTCACAAGTGTTCCCATCTCTTATTCTCTGTTGTCCCTAATTCCTGTTGTTCGTAATACTGCCTCTTCTGCTTATGGGACTGTCTTTGATAGGAAAGTGAGACTATGGTATTTGTAACTGATGCCTCCCTCTGTGTTCTATTATTTGACTGCTTGCCATGTCTATTGTAAGCAAACGAACTACACATGGGGTGTCCTTCCATTATTATAATTGCATTGGTTCCAGTATCCCACTTTGTGCTGTCACAATTGCCTCTTCTTGCTGCGTTTTCAACTTATGGAAATATCTTTAGTAGGGAAGTAATAGAGATGTTGTAAATTAGCAGCTGACGGATGTATTTTTCTCCGATTTTGATACGATTCCGATAATAAAAATGATACATCTTCCATCTCAGTATTTTCCTTTTCCAAATTTACCAGTAGGAAAATTAGGATTTTAAAACATTTTAATAAATTAATATTTTAGAATGCATTCAAATTTAAATGACAATATCAGATGATTTTGGAATGAATGGGAAATATCAGATATAAACGGTGAAATATGACTTGAAATATTATTGACGCTCTTAGAACGACTCAAAGCTTTATTTATTAAATGATGGTTAGAGAATTTCCTTTCAAATTAGGCAGTGAGAATTTCTTTTGATAAGAAGAAAATGGGTGTACAGAAGCTTCATTTCATCGGCTTATAGGAAGCCCGATATAACCCCGTAAAGTCTGTAACGGCATCAGTTCAACTTTAATATTTGAGGCCTAAACCAGTAGTTTCAATGTAAGCCCGATGGGCTGCAACAGAATGGAATTAAGGCCCATGTCGAGACCCACTTGTTGGTGAATATTTCATTTGCCAATTTGATTAGGAGGGTAGAGGTGTAAAGCGCAATTGCATGTGTGTTCCAAATGATTATCTCTATTGTACAACAATAACATAAAATTCATCAACTAACTTTCTCTTGTTTTTTTCCCCCCCTCTCCTTCGTTCAACAAAAGATTTGGCTTGAACATATTCTATTCAATACGAGCAGGATAGAAACCTGACTTAGTATTCTTAGAAAAAGAGAAAAATCAGAACCAAGTCAAGATAATGCAGATCAGCCCCTTTTGCGCCAAAAATCTTGCCATTTTCAAAGTAATTAGAGGTACATCTATTTTTTCATTTCAATTCAAAAGTTTTTATGTTTTTCCATGCCCCTTAGAGACCCCGAAAAATGAAGAAATTTCTTTTCTTAGAAACACATAAGATTCGTCACGCACCCAATATGCTCGTGAAGAGTCAAACAGCCTCCAAGACCTATTTTTCTCTTATTATTTAACCTCTGGGAAGCATATCTTAGAGGAAAGGTTATGACAGAAGGAAGTTTAACCTTCTTGTTTTTATTTTTTTCCCCCAATTTTGATACAGTAATCCTCTATAGTGATATACTACAGGGTGATAAATTTCAACAATCAACATTTAACGGTTATGAGATAAGATCTGAATTATCTAAACACAATTTCAACAATCAAAATTTAAAATTTTTAAAGAATAATTTTTTAAATAAATATTTTTTTATATTTTTATTTTAGATTATGTATATTAAAATATTTTTAAAAAAATAAAATAAAATAAGATTTGGATGCTCATTTGTGTTGTAAATCTTTGAATTCTTGCTGTATATTGCCAAATTTGATTGTTGATTTATGCCAAAAAAATTGTGTTTGAGATTGTGAATTTTCTTATATTTATTGTAAATCACCAAATTTATATTGCAAATTGTCCAATTTTTCCTTTAAATTGCTGAATTTGACTTGTTTATTTACCTATAAAATTTATAAAGATTTACAACTCAAAATCAACTTTTTACAATAAGAAGTTAGTGATTTATAACACAAGTTCAGCAATTTATAACTCAAATAAAATAATAATTTTTTTTAGACATAAAATTGTGATCAAGGGAATGCAATTTCAGAATTTTTGGAGAGTTAACATAAAAAACTATATGACATAAAAAAAAATTTTTTTTAGAGTTGATTGATATTAATTGCAGGGAGTTCTCCCCTGAACTAATTTTAAAAAAAAGTGTGAATTGTTGAATTGTGTTTTGACTTCTCTTTAATTGATTTGACCCCGCACCAATCCCATTTTATAGCAGTCAGACAACATATTACCCTTCCAATCCTAAATATAAAACTCATTTTCTAATATAACCTCATTTTATAGTGTAATTTACACTATAAAATGAGTTTTATATCTAGGACTAGAGGAGTATTAAATTACTATAAACTGTTATTAAAATATTAATATTTTAAAGATTTTTAAATAGTCACAAGTTAACATCTTTATTGCTGACTTTAAAAAAAAATAAAAATGCTTAAATATTACTCCACAGTTTTTTAATATAGTACTTAATTATTGGGTTAATCTTAATATTAAATATAAGAGCTATTTTTTATATTTATCAGTTCTTTCTAAATTATTTCTATTGATACTCCCTCAACCATAATCAAGTAAGAGAGGGAGGAAGGATATTAAGAAAAATAATTATGATATTTTAGGAAAAACATGTCATATTTCTTATAGTTGACTAACTTATATAATTTTCTTAATTTAATTAAATTAGTTAACTATGTCTTATGTTAAAAATCAGTGGAATAATATTCAATAAAATATTATCAAAACATTTATATTAATTTAATAATACGCAGCTGGGCTCCTACTGCGGACTGCAGTCTGGCAATCGTTCGATGACTCACTAGTGATTGTTCTACGGTTATGCAGCGGCCGTTGCCGGCTGTCAAACGAGAAGTCAAGTTTGGATCAATGTGATTAAAGTTTGCTTGAGTAATTTTACACATATTTTTTAAAATTATTCCCAAATTCTTTGGGACTTATTAGTAATAACTCAAATTTTAGCAAACTAAAAATGATTAACTTAGTTATTTGAGACTTCTCTGTAATTTTCCATTTAAGTTTTTTGAGAACAAAATAAGACAGCTTGCTGCAAAGACAATAACAAAATCTGAAGTGACAACTATAACAACTTCAGGTGGAATACATATTTGGAACTTTTTTTTTCTTTTTTTTTCTCATCTGTTTCTGTCCTTTTTTTTATTTTTTATTTTGGAAAAACTCCAAAAAAAAATAATAGTTAAATTTCGAGAACCTCAAAGAGTCATCTGAATTTGAGAAACTTCAAATTACTCTTAATGAGTAAATTAGAATTTTCAAATATTGGTGAATTTATAATATTGTCTTTTATTTTTTTTTTTAAGAAAATCTCAAGTCAACCTTATTGGCTGGCCAAAACTCGGGTACTGGCAATTGGTACCAGAGCTCCAACAAACTGATAACTATTTTTTTGGAATTTTTTCAAAATGTATAAAGTGACTGTTAATTTTTATAATAGTATTCACAACTCCATTAGTGCCATTAACCACTTTATATGATAGGATCTTAAACTCGGAGAAATTAGTAAGTGTCTAATCTAATGGGATTTTTCTTATAGCTCTAATTACGAGATACAAGATTAAATGCCATTTACCAGTTATAAATAGGGTCAGAGGACTATAAGTTAAAATTTATTTTACATAATTATCGTATTAACTTATATCGTTTTTAATAATTTGTGCAAAAAAAATTACCATGTGTCTTCTAGGTTTTTAAACTGAGATTTTTTTTCAATACTTGTAACATGGTAGTAAACTCTTATAACAATATTCATCACTCTATTAACACCATTAATCATATTATATACTTAGTATGTATTTAATTAATTAAATTAAATATGCAGGAAATTAATAATATTGATTTAAATACATCTCATATGACTTGGTTAGTGACAACCATTTACAATTGTTGGAAAAAAAATCTCAATTTAAAAATCTAAAAAATACATGGTAAATGAAGTTAATAGAGTTGTGAATATTGTTATAAGAGTTGTTAATCATGTTACAAATGTTGTAAAAATTCCTAAAAAAAAATAGGTGCTTGGTTTCTAAGGCTCTAGCATCAGCAATCGGCTGACCAGTGTTGGTGACTTGAGTGTTTTTTAAAGGGGAAAAAAAAAAGGCAACATTATAAATTTACTAATATTTTAAAATTCTAATTTGGTTGTTATGACTGATCTGAAATTTTTCAAAATTCATCTCACCTTTTGGAATTTTTTGAAATTCCACTATTATTTTTCTTGAATTTTCCCTTTCCCTTTTTCTTTTCTTCTTTCCTTTTCCTTCTTTTAAGATATGTTGGTAATCTATTGTACCTTGTAACCTTTTATTAATTACATCATTTTGTCGTGTTCAAAAAAAGATGTTGGTAACTAGTCTTGTCTCCAAGTATCGATAAACGTATTCATATATACTGTGAAATCTATAAGTTACACTATTTTTTTAAGGAAGAATGCGATTCCGATACAATGTATCGGAAATATTCCCATAATATATGCTACCTCCGGTCCGGTCTTTAGCATAAGGATTAATTGACTAATTTGAGTAGATTAAAAAAATTAGTTAAATTATTTTTTTATAATAAATAAGTGTTATCTTTCCTAAAACATCTTTACTAATCAAATATATTAACTAAAACTACTATTATTAGTATTACAAAAACTATTTTGGGAAAAAATAAATAAATATGAGAGACAAAATGAATCGAATATCATATTTAGAATCAAAATAACAGTCAAACGAGTTCTTATATTAAAAACTGGAGGTAGTATATATATATAGAGAGAGAGAGAGAGGCTCTTTTCTTATATAGAGATGAGATGATCATGCAAAATCTATTTCTCAGTTAAAATTCCGCCTGTTGTCCGTAAGTTCTTTTTGTCTCTCACAAAGACATATTAAATTGTGCGTGACATCTTCCACTATTCTCTCTTATTTTACTTTCATTTCTTTTTTTTTTTGCCGGTACTTTTTAATTTCTAATTGTTTGTACTTTTTAATTCCGCTGATCTTTAACGCGCTTCGGAGAGAAAATAAAGTGATAGATGATTCCTTGGAAACTAAAGCAAGCAAGCTTATTATATATATAAATGTTCCATCACTTCAATATTATATTGCTGGTGAGAGATGGACTTTTGTGGAGGTCCAAACAAGGGAGAAGTGGCAAGTGCATTTCATTTTTTCATACACACAAATACATACATATACATATATATATAATGCAATAACATTTGCAGTTTCTTGGTTGATATAATAATGCTATTTTATCACTAATACGCTTAGGTTAAATATCGTATGGGAGTCTAACACCCATTAAATAAGACCCCATGAATCATAGCAAAACAAGATGATCGATGTGTATATAGCTAGTATTAGACTATTATCTTTCTCCCGACTAGAGAATGATCTTGCTTGAATTTGTAATAATTCTCTTTCTTTTTCCATTAAGCACAGGTATATATATCTATTTATTAGAGGAATGTTTGAAATATTGTTAGACACTAAATATAGATATTTTTTTAATAAAAGTTAAAATATTGATTCATTACGTCGTAAGAGACTAGCTCATCCCACTATATTCTAATTCCCACTGATTGAATTCGTATTACGTGGTAGCACCTAATACAGTTGGATGGTTTGTTATCAACACAACAAAAATAATTGATAGTAGGAGAAATATTGTATATGTTTGTACTTTATAGGAATAATTGGTTATATGCATTTGTAGCAACATGAGTATGGTTATGCTTTCTAACGAATAAATCTAGGCCTAGTGGCATTGTATTCCTTTTTGAGGAAGGTCGCGGATTCAATTTCTCTTTGCTTCTTGGCTATTGAGATTGCTCCTTTTTAACATAATCCAAAGGAAGGGGAAAAAATCAAAAGAAAGGTGAGCGATTCTTTTGAATACAAATTAATACAAACAAAATGAAGCTACGAGGCAAAGCATTGTTAATTTAGACTCTCTTTTGTTTCTTTTTTGAATTCCAAAGTAATGTACTGATTTACGGGTGCAAATATATTTTGAGTTGATTCGTTGGAAACGTTTGCAAGCAAGCATATATTCCAAATATGCAATGTGGCAAATTTATTGTTGCTACTCCTCTCAATTTCCAGTCACAGCTAGCTTGTTGGATCCATCCAAGGCTCGCAATCGACTGGTACTGCATTTCATTATTCTTGCTTTTCTTTTAATTCAATATCTATACTTCCATTTTTTTGTGCAATTAACTAATAAGAACCTTAACACGGATTAATCATACAGATCTCTCTCGTAGTCATTATATTACATAGATCCCCAATATGTCAACATTGCCAGGTGACTTCAAACAAAGCGCAGCACCAATCGACTTGGATCCTCTTGTGGGGCTGCAACGTCCTTCACCTGAGTCACCAAGGCCGAACGAGGAATCAGGTGAATGAGTACAAAAGCTCTTCTTTTTCTCTGTGTCATTGGGACCAAGAGCTGTTAAAAAAAAAAAATCGTAGCAATATGTTAACAAAGGTTCAGTCACACACAGAAAAAGGACTCAGTATTTTTTGTAAGTAAATTTTCGAGTTCAATTTAATGTTGTAAATGGAAAAATCAAAATTGTTCAGGAAATCACATTAGTGATGAAATTTTGTCAAGAAGTCTCAAATATAGGCATATTTACTTAATTAAATTTAAACAATTTACATAATCAAAATAAAACTTCCAAGATTCTTCAAATGGACCTTTGCCTCTTAATTAAAATTTCATGTGTAGGATTTGTTTCTTTCTTTACTAGTAGCTTAGTGCATCATAATGAAGTTTTCACTTTGGTTAGTTGCTTTTCATTATTTTAACCAATGCATTATAAACATGTAAATCTCCTCATCCTCAAGATGCATTTAACGATAATTGAGCATAACCTTTTTGAGAAGGTTATTTGATTCAAAAATCCTATCTCATATATATACGGGCACTAACAAACTAATAACCTATGCTAATCTCTTAAATACATACATATACATACATATATTTGCACGCGTAGTTATTTGCGCGTGCATGAGTATGTAATACCTTGGCCATGCCATTTTGGTAGATAAACTCAATTTGCTTTGACAATTTCATTCTTGTTTTTTCGGTGCAAAATAATTTAAGCAAGGGATTGGGCTCATCCACAAGCCAAGAAAACTAACTAGTCACACACAACCCAATCGCTTGTCAGTCACATACTATCTATTTGGGCTATCAGTGTGCCTAGGCTATTAGCTAGGGTAGAGCATTAACTTTATGGGAATTAGCTCCAAATTACATGCTTTACCTGGTTGTGAATATGCCTGCCCAAGAGCTGCGACAATCTCAAGAATCGAACCCCTCTTTTGATGAGAATGTTCAATCCTTTGACTATGAACCAACGGTACGATGTGTATTCTTTTTTATTTTAGCAACCCATATAATCACTTAAAAAATTCTTGTGTTTAATGAGACAAAACCCGTATGATATATTTACTTCGTATTGTACAAAATCATTTAAAATAACTTAATAATTATATGTGTATGTACTCATCTCGATGCTTGCATGATTACATGGTGTGGATTCCAGGAGAGGAAAGAGATACATGGAAGGATGATTTATGCCATGCTATTTGTGTTGACGGCTGGACTGATGTGAAATCAATTGTGGATCAAAACCCTAATGCCTTGACTGCGGAAATTGATGATAAAGGCAGAACAACACTTCATGTGGCTGCAATGTTTGGGCATGTCACCATAGTGGAGGAGTTGCTCAAATTACTGCCTCCACAATTCCTTCTAAGACCTGATTCGTTCGGCGATACAGCACTTGTATTGGCTAGTCGGTTTGCTGGAATCACCCAAGTTGCAAAATGCCTTGTAAACAAGAATAGCCGCATAGTTTGCATTCCAAACAAGTATGGTAATCTTCCTGTTACAGTGGCTTTTGCAGACGGTTACCAAGAAATGGGGCGTTATCTTTATTCTGTCACTCCATTAGAATGCCTCACAGGCCGTTGGGGTTCCCGGCTTCTTCGTTGTTGTTTCCATGCACAATGTTTCGGTATGTTATCTAGTATTATAGTACATTCCATCCTAAGTATAAGATCTAGTTTGTAGTGTATATTTTTTTCTTGTCATTTCTCTCCATGTTTTTGATGCTCTTGTCAATTCATGGCGTATGACTATATAAATATACGCAGAGATTGCTTTGAATTTGCTTCAGCAATGTGAAGAATTGCTTTTCATGCCTGCCAATGATGAAGGGTGGACGCCAATTCGTGAGATCGCAACCTTGAACACTACCATTATTCGCCCAAGTGAACTTATCTTCTGGAAACGATGGATTTATAGCTGTCAGTATCTTTGTGCTTAGCTGGCTATACAAGTTTCAAATGCTTTCCTTTCTCATTCGTTATCATATATATTTATTTATAATCGTTATTATTATTTATGAATTTTTTTAACGACATTGTTTCTTTGCCCATGTAAGATATAAATATACCTTCAACTACAGTTATCAATCATGTTTTTGTTGACATTCAACAACAAGACAGAAGTCAAGGAGATAAAGCAAAACTTACTGAGCTAGGTATGTTACAAAAATATTATTAGGAGAATACATTGGAACAATATATAAGTTTGTAGGCATTAAAACGTGTAACTTTTACATTGCTATTTAAAGTAATATTAATCAACAGGGATAAAAGATTTGGCCTTAATTTACAGGGCATGGCCTAGTACGAAGGCTCATCACCACCACCGGTAATTTTGTAGGTATGGATGCTAACTTCCACATATCTCTTCAAAGAATTGGTTACTTGTTCAAGCTTACTCTTAATTCTCATAAGTTAAACTAAACTAAGGAAAAGATCCATGTGTGATCAATGTAGAAGTTAAGAAAGTACAAGAGCTAAAGCTGCTGCATGCACAAGCAGATGACCTTCTTCATTTAGTCTGTAAGAATGCAAGGAAAGCATACCAAAAAAGGGTTATAGATGAGGCTTTAAGTCGTGCAGCTAAAGAAGGGAATGTTGAGTTTGTGCTTCAAGTATCAAATGCAATCCCAGAGATTTTCCTCCGTGAAACAATGGTTTCATGTTTCAATAAAGCTCTCGATTACCGGCAAGCTAAGGTTTTCAACCTTATCCATGGCCTTCGCTTCAAGCATGGCCTGGCAACAATGAGACCCGATAATGATCCCGGACATACCTTGATGCATAAGGTGGCTATAAAGGCTCCTGATCATGTTCTTAATCGCATCTATGCACCTTCATTGCAAATGCAGAGAGAATTGCAATGGTTTAAGGTTAGAGAAAGATGTTTATTAATCTTTGAGCCATATTCTCTTTATAAGATTGAATCTATTATAATCAAGTGTGTACAGTAACCAACTGAATACAGTTTATCTGAAAGTATATTTGAGAATGTTCCCCTGTGGGTTTGACTTTCTTTAGAGGCACGTTGAGTGTTATAGAATCATTCAAAGACATCACAAAGAAAGTAAATGTCATGAGGCCAGGCTTTGAGTCGAAGTTCCAGTTTCTCTGCTGATCATTTTCTCCTAAACTAGTTGCAATGTTAATCTGGTTTTGATAAGAATGTGAAAGAAAAAACTTAATTATTTTTCTCCCAAACTGGATATAGTAGTAGTTTGGTTTTGATAAGAATGTGAAATGCAATAATACTTTTTGAAACAAATGCAGGAGGTGGAGAGTTTAACACCTCCAAGCTTTAGGGTATTTCAAAACAAGGATGGCATGACAGCCGGAGAATTATTCAGAGAATCTCACAAAGAGTTAATGAAGCAAGGAGAGAAATGGATAAAAGATACAGCATCTTCATGCTCAGTTGTCGGCACCTTAATTGTGACAATTATGTTTGCAGGAGCTTTTACTGTTCCGGGAGGAAATGATGAAAATGTTGGATACCCATTATTCATCAAACAACCATTTTTTAAGGTTTTCATCTTCTCAACCATATTATCTCTTCTCTCTTCTTCAACTTCAGTTTTAATGTTTCTAGCGATCCTAACCTCTCAATATTCAGAGGAAAAGTTCCTCAAGTCCTTGCCTACAAAGTTAATTTTGGGTCTTTTCTTTCTTTTCATCTCTATTGTAAGCATGATAATAGCCTTTCTGTCTACCATTCGCCTCATGCTAAAACACACAAACTACTCGTGGGGTCTCCTTCCCATTATTATATTTGCAAGTGTTCCCATCTTCCTCTTTGTGCTGTCACAATTCCCTCTTCTTCTTCACACTTTTGTTTCTACGTATGGGAATATCTTTGACAGGAAAGTCAAGCCGTGGCCATGAGATGGATTTGTAGTTGATGTACCACTTTTTTTTTTTTTGGTATTAATGGAATAATTACGATTTGATGTTTCTTGTCAATTACATTGACACAATCTTTAATAAGAAAGAAGCTGTGGCTGTTGCAGATATTATCATGAATTGAAATATTATTGATGCTCTTAGAACGGTTCACAGGTTCATTTATTAAATATATATCTGGAGAATTTCTTCTGATAAGAAGAAAATGGTTGTATAGAGACTTCATTTCAGCTTGTTAGAAGGCCAAGATAACCCGGTGATGCTGTAACAGCATCATTTCAACTTTCTATTTATGTCCTAAACGCGTAGTTTCAATATAAGCCCGATGGGCTGAACAGAATGGAATTAAATGCCCAGTCGAGACCCATTTGTTTGTGATTATTTAATTTGCCAGATTGCTTGGGAGGGTGGGGACGTAAAGTGTAATTACATGTGTGCCAAAAATGATTATGTCTATTATATAACAACAACGTAAAATTCATTAACTAACTTTCTCTTGTTTTACTTTTTATCATCCTTCACTTAACGAAAGAAAGTCACACTCCCAGCATGCTAATGAAGGGTCGAGTACATAATATTAAGCTTCAGATTTAAGAAGATATTATATTTAGTGTTAATACACCCATATATCTTTCTCTGGTTTAACCTATGCAGACCATCTTAAAGGAAGGGTTGTGAGATAAGAAAGTTCAATCTTCTATAGCAATGGAGAAGGAAGTGAGAAATTAAAAAAGAAATAATAATTTATGAAGTTTTTTTTTAATTTATTAATATGTCGAATTTTCATTGCCATTGACCTTCTTCAGCCTGGGCTGGGCTCAAGGCTGAACCCCTGATGACTAATGTCTCTGAGTTCTCTCTGTATCCATTATGACTTCTCTTCTCGCTATTTCTCATTTGCCCTTCCCCCTGCTCTGTGCATTATTTGGACGAAGTTCATATATATATATATATATATACACGAATGAATAGACAAACTAAATTTAAGGTCAAAGTTCAAATTTTTGTGCGAATAAAAAAGGATAAAAATTTGTATATGTCACAAAAAGGTCAATGTTATTACGTCACACAATGGCTTAGAAGAAAAATCATATTTAAGGTCAAAATCGACGGGCAAGCCAATTTATATGACATTAATCCTATGAGCAAGCAGACTAACATAATCAATAATATCCTTCAAAGGATGATTAATTACTATCACACCCTCTAGTTATCAAATTAATGGCTTCTGGACTATTAAAAAGAAAACAGAGAGGTTTAAACTTCTATACTCTCGAGACCAACACAGGTTAAGTCCATGCACAATTCCGATCATCCCTGCAATAGCTGGAAGAACTATTGTAAGTCCATGCCTGTTATTAATTAAGGGCCGAACTATCCACTTCTAGTTTTGAAATGGTTGCACACACTCAGTGCCTATTTTGGATTTGCAGTGAATAAGTGCCTATAAGCACTTTTACGTAAATTGAAACAAAACTCTCCTTACATACCTACCTCAAAACTCTCCTGACATATTTATCTTGTATTCTGCAAATTATGATTAAAAATTTACTTATAGTCATTCCAAATAAGTCCTTAGTTGTTGAGTAGAAGGCACAACTCTCTATTAGGTCCTCATCCAAACAAGCCCCAAAAGACCCATCATGAGCATTATGATAATGCTGGTTCAAAGTTGCGTCTCAGAGCTTACAACGCGCCTAGACACCCAAATATTCCAATGAACATATACAAAAAGTATCACCCACTGAATCTTCTCAGTGTAACCCTGAGATGACAACCAAGGCCACATAGCCGGAGATAACGGAGTTTTTTATTTTTTGCCATAGGAGAAAAGTCGAATAAGATGCCTTTTTATTCGAATTTGAAAATATTTTAACGTTATAAAGTATATTCCAATTTTTAAATAATGTTTTAATAATTAAAAAAATCAGCCCTTTACATTTGAAAAATATTATGATAAATAACAATTAAGCAGTAATGAAATTATTTTACTTTTATGTATGACAGTGATCAAATATATGTGCTGACTATTCAAGTAATCATTGATATTGTACCAAATAATTAATTTCATTTTATATGCCTAACGGGTTCATATTTCATCATTACAAAATGAGACAGCTTGCTCCAAAGACAATAACAAAATCTAAAGTGAAAGCTAGAACAACTTCTAATTGTTCTCATAGTGGCATTTTCTGCCTGTTTCCTATAAGTTTTTTGCCTCTCACATCGGCACATTAAATTTTGCGTGACGTCTTCTGATAGTTTCTCTTAATTTACTTTTCTTTAATTTCTAATTGTTTGATACTACCTCCGGTCCTTAATATAAGAACTAGTTGACTAATTTGAATAGATTAAGAAAATGAGTTAAATTAGTTATTTGTAATAAATAAGTATTATATTTCCTAAAATATCTTTACTAATCAAGTGTATTGGCTAGAACTACTATTAATCTAAGGACTACCTTGAAACAATAATTAAATATGAAAGACAAAATGGATTAGGGTTTTATATAGGATCAAAACAAAAGTCAAACAAGTTTTTATATTAAAGGCAGGAGGAAGTACTTTTTAATTCCCCTTATGTTGCACGTGAATCGGAGAAAAATAAAGTGAAAGATGATTCCTTGGAAACAAACGCAAGCAAGGTTATTATATACTCCTCCGGTTCTTAATACAAGACTCATTTAACTAATTTGATTAGACTAAGGAAGTTAAGTAAATTAGTTAATTATAAGAAATGTGACACATTTTTCCTAAAACACTATAATTATCTTTCTTAATATCCCCTCTCCCTCTTCTACTTCATTATGGTTGAGGGAGTATCTATAAGGGTAATTTAGAGAAAATTAGTAAATATGAGAAATGGGTCTTATATTTAGAACCAAAACTAATTCAACAATTGGGTCATATATTAAGGATCGGAGGAGTATATGCATATTCCATCACCAAAATATTATATTGCTGGTCAGATGGGCTTTTGTGGAGGTCGAAGCAAGGAAAGGAATGGTAATTATGGGTTTGTTTCCATGTAAATGCGTGTGTGTGTAACAGTTACATTTTGATTCAGAATAATAATATTCAACTTTATTATTCTCACACGCAATTCTGGACTCCCGTTATTCATACAACAGCCCAATTTCTGTTTTCATACTCTCAACCATAGTATCCCTCGTCTCCCCCCCCCCTCCCAAAAAAAAGAAGAAAAAAACCCAACCCTTCTGCCAATTATTGAACATATTTTATCTTGATGACGTGATTCTCATCTTGACTATTACTAGTCAATATATAAATAAACAAGTCATTAAATTCCTAGTTAGATAAGTCTTTTTAATTTATAAAAACATTTTGGACCATCACTAATTTAATACCACCCTCTACCCTTATTTACTTTTGGCAATGACCCATCTATGTCACTCCGTCAATAATTATGACTGGACTACCCTGTCCATGTTGATATTCAGGATGCACTCGAGTTGGTAGGGCAAAGTTATGGTTATCTAGGTGCTGTGCACAATACTTAAAAAAGTATTTGCAGAGTGTAAATTTCCGGGATCATTTTAGTGAAAATATATTTGGATTTAGGAAGAGGAATTAAAGCTGTCTGGTGGAAACAAGCATAAACACCCTTAAAAATTGGATAAATTTCTCTAGAAGCTGGGAAGAAGAAGGACCGTGGCTTCTCAGTTATAGCTTTATAGTCATCACTCTGTGATTTAATTTCCCAACAAATAAGATAAAATGAACTCAAAAAGTGATCAATTTATCAGTATAGGGTATACAATAAAATTTATATTAAGCCACACTTTTCAAAAGACATAATAAATGCAATTTATTCTTTAGTATCCATGCAATGTGCAGAAAAGTCTGTTTAGTTATAAAGATAAAGCAGTACAGTGTATTCATACACATAGTTTTACAATAAAAATTGGACCATAGTCCTATGGTTATAGGGAATGAGGATTGTGACTTTATAGTAAGATTAAAATCTTTCACCATGACCTGAGCAACTCATTGGCATTGTAATAGTGCTTTCTGTGCTTCTTAATTTTTCATATTAATTGTTTGTATGTATATAATCCTGATGTTATACTGGTGCCTACCGCTTGATGCCAGTCTGCACAAAGGACTTGATCCTATGGGTTTCCTGTGTGGAAGATTATGTGTATTTATTCTTCTTTTTACATTTTTGTCATCTAATTGCAGTGACAGTGGAAGTGGAGGTGGGGATTTTGTTGCTGGTTTTCTTCTGGGAGGTGCGATTTTTGGAACACTAGCTTACATCTTTGCTCCCCAGGTGAATGCTTTCGTTTGTTTCTCAAACTGTTAATTTATTAGTACTTGATAGTTGATATACTGTGATAGTTTATGGGCTAATGGATCATCAGTGGATTTTATTGTTATTTTTAAGTAAAAGCTAATATTTTGATTAAAAATATTATAATCTGTCTGCAAGCTGATTTTGTTACTAATACTATTATGTAGATCCTTAATGTGCTTTGCATATTTTGGTTGTTCAATTCTTCTTCCTTTTTTTTTTTTTATGCTGCAGATTAGAAGATCTCTGTTGAATGAAGATGAATACGGGTTTCGTAAGGCCAAAAGACCGATATACTATGACGAAGGTTTAGAGGTAATTAGGCTTCCTTGACTTTATAATAAATATATTGGCGTGCTTGAACAGCATTAGTTATAATTGTGTTTTACTATTGGAAAACAGAGGACTAGGCAGACTCTGAACGAAAAGATAGGCCAACTAAATTCGGCCATTGATAACGTGTCTTCACGCTTGAGAGGTGGCAATAATGTGCCTGCAACACCAGTAGAAAGTGACCCTGAAGTGGAAGCTACCCTGTGAGGCGTTTCTTGTTTGGTTCCATTATTTTTTCAGTACTGCTTTCACTAACGCTTGAGTAGTGATTATAAATAATTGAAGACCGTATACCTGTTAAAATTGGTTCTGCTACCTTATTTTGCCATAGTTTTTTGGGTTGCATGTTCGATAGCAAAAGACTTCCTGCTGGATACGTGGAATCTCTTGAATGGAATTTATATCTCTTGTTTTCTATATATCTATATCTATGTATATAATTTAGAAAACAAGTTGACGCTGCGGTTTTTTTTTTTTTTTAATACTAGTGTCTTGTGTTTTTTTTTCTCTGTTGTTTTTTTTTGGGGCCTCATTGGTGCCTTATGGGTTAGATGATCTAATTTGTTGTCAGATGATGGCTGAGGGTAACATAATACTGTTAGACTGATGATGACGATTTCATAGGTTTGGTGAGCCACACTACTTTGTTGGTGGAGTGACCAGCGGTTACTAAAGGACTCAAGTTTTGGATGGTTATTGCTTTCTTTTCCAGTAGGATGTGGTCCATTTCTATTTTCTCCTATGGACCTCAAAAGCCTAAATTTTAGATCGAGATGGTCAATTTTGGAAAAATATGTAGAATTTGAATGTGGGTTTTTTCACAAATTTTTCGATTTTATAGTTTATATTGGGGAATGATTGATATATTGATGCGTTGATGCTTTTGAAAGAGAACCTTAATTATTTTTGAAGGTTAAGCATCACTTTTTCTTTTTACAGAATAAGTATCACTTATTATTTTATAACTGAGTAGAATCAGGATAAGATTTATTATATATTTACAAATTTAGCTATAAAAGGTAAAAACTACGAAATACTACCTTCGTTCCTTAATATAAGACCCCGTTTGACTTTTATTTTGGTCCTAAATATAAGACCCCAATCCACTTTATCTCTCATATTTATATATTTTTTCCGAAATAGTCCTTTAATAATGGTAGTTCTATATAACAAACTTGATTAATAAGGATATTTTAGGAAAAATAATATATTCATTACAAATAACTAACTTAACTGAGTTCTTTAATCTCTCCAAATTAGTCAACTGGGTTTTATAATTAGGACCAGAGGTAGTAATATGTAATGAAAGATTTGTCTTTAGAATAAAAAAAATGCTATATGTATTTAAAGAATAATTAGAATTCCCATTTAACTTAAGATATGAATTTTTTTCGGCCAAAAAAAAATATGAATCAAACAATTATTCATTTAACTTATCAAAAAGTTAATCTTCTGGAAGTGTACTCCTATGTGAGCTTTTGGGAGAAGTTCAATAAATTGAATCAAGTGACCTTTGGGTTGTTTTGCGGGTCTCCAATAATTTGTTTATGTTGATTTCTTTCTTTCTTTGTTTTTGACTTAACCTTCGGTTTGAGGGGCACCGATTTCAGAAAAATGTCTCTGTATGTTTAATATGGGCCACAGGCCCCAAAATGTTGACCATGGACCCGATTGGCATACCCCCACGCAGCGTATATCTTAATGGAACTTTTTTTTTTTTTCATAAGTTTATATTAAAAAAATATATGTATTTTTTCTAACATTTAAACCTTGTTAAAATATTTGACGAAACATTGTAAAAAGAAAAACAAAATATCATGAAGCTCAATGAAATTTATGGAAAAAAGGTGAAAAGAATGAAAAAGAGTTGCATGGTGTGTGATATGTATAAATCTTGCTATATATGACTTGTAGATAGTATGGCTCTCCATAGGATTTATATTTCTGGTGTGGACAGAAGCTTTAATACAAGTTGATAGGATAAATATTTTTAAAAGGATGAATATTTTGATACATTTAAGTTATTGATTTGTTCATTGTCATCATTAATCATTAGTTTTTAACATAGAAATCAAATATTTCCACCATCTTCTTCAAATTACCATCAATCACTATAAATTCAATGTCATTAACAAGTACTCCAATAAAATCACCCCACCATGCAAACTGGTGTTATTCCTTGATAATATGAACCATAATAGACATCATATCTTGATGATAACTTTGACGCATTCTGGCTGTTTTGATATCTCAAATGCTTTGCTTATCTCTGTTAAAGGGATTTCATGGGTCTGAAGTTCATCAAGAGAGATATCCTACAAAAATTAAAAAATACGCATTGTTATAATCTATAGAGTGAAATTAAATGTGATTAACATTACTAAGAGGTATCATACGCAATTCAGGTTTCTCTGCAGAGAATTTCACCTTGTTTAGGCATTTGGCAGCTAAAACAGGAAGGTCAGATTTTGGTTTTAAGCCTCCAAAAACAGAACCCTTTAAAGTTCTTCCAAGAAGAAGACCTAACCAGTTCACCTGCACAAATTCCTCGGTTCCTGCACCGATTACTATTGCCTTTCCTCCCCCCTGCTTGTGTATACACAGTAAATTACTGAGAGAACACACACACTTCCTCTATATTGAAGGTTCATTAGTGAACAATTTGTTGTACCATACAGAATGAGATAAAAGAATATGAAATATCTTAGAAGATTTATTTAATTAGTTTAAATGATCGGTGATATGGGAGTTTACCACTTTTGTGGATTCCAGGGCTTGAGTGAGCAGAGGGGCAACACCAGTGCACTCAATGGCATAATCCACACCTAATCCACCAGTAAGATCCTTCACCAACTGAGAAGAAGGCTTATCAGAGTGATCCTTAGGATTTATAAATTCTGTCATTCCAAAAGCTTTCCCCTTTTCTCTCTTCTTCTCATTGATGTCAACACCTATTATCTTAGTTGCTCCCATCATCTTGGCTCCACTTATCGCCTGCAATACAAGTAATTTACCCATTATACAATCTTTTTCTGGGTATGAAAACTGCAGTAAAACAGATGTTCCTTATAGAATAATAGTTGTTCTAGTCAATATACATACCCCTAACCCAACAGCTCCAAGGCCAAAAACAACCACAGATGATCCACTTTGAACTTGGGCTGTCTGCCAAGCAGCCCCAAAACCAGTAGAGAATCCACAAGAGATGAAGCTAGCATGAGCCAAATCAATACTTGGATCAACTTTCATAAGGTAGTTCTCATCACTAACCATATACTCACACCATGTTGAGCAGCTAAACACATGGTACACTTTCTGTCCTCTTATGGAAATCCTTGATGTATCATCGGGCATAAGGCCATTCACTCTTAGAGGATATCTCACGCATAAGTTTGATTTCCCTGAAACACAGACCTCACATTCTCCACTCTCCCCAATATATATTGGAATCACTATATCTCCAACTTTGAGATCTGTCACTTTCTCCCCTATGCTCTCCACAACCCTGCATTTTTATTCATCACAATGAAAGTTGTTTGTGGATTAGAATTGATTGAACGATTGGTGATTGCTTGACTGGGTTTTGAATTAATAATGCGATAAGCTTACCCTACGCCTTCATGCCCCAGTGCTTGAGGGAAAACTGGCTGCACATCAATTTCATTTAGTACATATATATTTGGTTATAAGAAGCCTTTTTGTGGGATAGAATGAAGCAGGGATGAAGATAAATTGGATATTTTGCATTTCTTATAGATTCAATTCCGATACAAATTTTCATTTCAAAGTTGAGAAGATAAAAATTGAATATTAACTAATATGCGTGTAAGAATATCAAAGAATCTTACATATGGGCATCCTCGACTCCTCAAGATGTCTGTGTGGCACAAACTGGCATAGAGCATTTTAACTCGGGCTTCAGAGGCTTTAGGAGGGTCTACTTGTATCTCTTCAACTTTCACTCCCTCTCCTTTTCCCCAACATATTGCCCCTGCAATTTTTTCTCCATTCAGGCTCAGAAGATCATGTATATTATTCTGAGAGATCGATTTGGCTCACTATGGTTAAATCACAAACAGCTCAATGATGATGTTAGAATCTTATGCCCCGTCTGGTAGCATGGAACTAGGGGGGTGAGAAGTGGAAATGGAAGTAGAACTCAAAATTCGAGTGTTTGGTACCCTTGAACTGGCTTCTATGGAAGTGCCAATTCCATCAAATCTGGGAACTGCCACTTCCATAGCCCCCCCATGAGAACTGAGTTCCAGTCCCATGGAACTGAAACTCTGACCGTTTTTGCCCCTCCCCCATCTTATCGTCTTCTTCCTCTATTCCTCCCACCCAACGTCCACTGGTCCTCTGCCGGTGACGAGCCTCCACGGCGACGGCAACATAGTCCTCCTTCATCGACGGCGGCATGGTCCTCCTCTTGCGACGGCCACGGTGGGCTTTCCATTCGCGATGGCAACAAACATGAACTCGCCTTCCAGCAGCGAACACGACCCCATATTCATCTCCCGCAAAGAGCTTGACGCCGTTATCGTCACCAGCAAACGCGATTCAGCCAGGTGGTTGAAAATGCTTTGATCTGAGTTTAGTTCTTCAGATCTGGTTCGATAAAACTAACATCTGGTTTGAAGTTGTGAATTTTCTTTTTCACGACTTTGTTTGCTTCGACCTCGCTCTTGCTTTGACTTGGAGATTATTGCATCCATGTATTGTTTCCAGTTCCTTCCATTTGTTCTTTTGGATCTTGCTCTGCCGGCGAGGATGGCGATCAGATGAAGGTGGGGTACAGAGGTTGACACTAGGTGGAGGTGGAGAGATTTTCTTTGCAAATTTCGGTATTTTCAAATTACAGATACATATTTTAATTAAAAATTATATATCACTTTCATCATCCTATCAAACATGTTTTAAATCTCACTTCTACCAGTTCTAATTCTACTTCCGCTTCTGCTTTCCAAAGCTCTTTCATGATACCAAACGGGGCATTAGAGTAATCAGGAAGAACGAAATTGAAACTGCCAGATTGGGATTATGGTATATGATACCTTTGCAAGTTATAACTTGTGAGCTGCTTGACATTATATTTATTCAACTTCACTCTGCAGATTCTAACAACGAGCTGGAAGCTTTGGCTCGCCAACGAAGAATAAAGCTGTGTACTTAGCCTTATATCCTTAGTGCTTGGATGAGAAGAGAAAATGGGAAGAAAGAAAAAACAGTGAAGTGAATTTTTATTTTTTTTGAGATGAAAAGTAAAGTGGATAGTGTGTTTTAATCCTTATGTTTGGATGAAGAGATCAAATACAAAGAAGAGACTGAGCTTGTTGGAATAAGTAAATAAGCATTAGAAAAATCTCCCTCAAATTCAAAGCCACTCTAGAGAATGTGAATAATTCTGTAGATATTTTCATATAACTAAGCTGTTCTAGAACAATTTCCTTTCACCCCTGTCCATATTTGGTGAATCCTCATAATAAAGAGTTGAACACTATATTGGTAGTGGGGCACCAACTAAATATATAAATGAATATTACGACAGTGTTGTGTTGAAATAGGCACTCCTCTTGAAGAAAATTGCATTGAAAGAACTTTGAAACAACAAAATAACGAAATTCTCATCTGAAAAAAAAGAATTACTTAAAAAGATTGAGTCTTAAATTGTAATTATCATACTAAGCTTAATGCTTTGCTTGGATGGGTAGAAAAGTTGAGAGGAAAGAAAATAGGAAGAAAGAAAATAGAGAGAAAGAAAAACTGGAGGAAAGTTGTGATCATCCCTCTTACTTGGATGGATAAGAGAAAATAAAGAGGAAAGAAAATTAGCATATATATAAATGACTAAAATGTCCTTATCAAAATATATCATATTTAAATTAAATTAAATTAAATATTACAATAGAAAAATTATACTAACATTAGCATCATCAAATAATTTAAAATCAAGTTATTTGGTTTGTATGTATTTTCAGATTATTATATTTTAAAACCAAATTATTTAATAAAAATATTGTTTTAAGATGAAAAAAAAAGTGAATAACTTTTTAAATATAATAAAACAAAATAAATATGGAAAGGAAGAGAGATAATGGGCAGTCATGGAAATCTTGTTTTCCTTCCTAAATCTCTCCATATATGGAGAGAAAATTTGAAGAGAAAATAAAGCATGGGGCCCATCTTATTTTCTTCTCAACTTTTCTTTCTTACTACGTTTTCTTTCCTATCCAAGCAAGAAAAAACTTATTTCTCCTCATGTTTTTCTCTATAGTTTTTTTCTCCTTCTTAATTTTCTCTCAATCCAAGCAAGGGGTAAGAGATCAAAAAGCCTTTCTTTTTTCTTTTTTTTTCCCTTTCCCTCTCTCTCTTCTTCCTTCTGATCTCTTTCCTCCTCCTCCCCCTCTTCCTTCCCCTTCTCCCTCAACCCCCTTCCTCTGCCTGCCCCATTTCCTCGTCCCCATTCCCACCTCATTACCTGTGCAGCACAGCCAACAACGAAGCGGGTAACACAATCAAAGAAGGCTTTAGCAAAAGAAGATGAATATGCAAGGAGCAACTGTAAATTCTAGAAGGATGGGTCTGGATTCTATCGCACAGATAGTTGGAATGGGAGATTTGCAACCTTCATAATTCGCACAGATGGTTTATATAAAGATTATTATGAATGAAGCGTTAGATTCTTGGACATCATGAATTGTTGTGGGAAAAGTCAGCGTCTCTCTCTCTCTCTAACCCATTTTTGCTTTCGGTAGTACTACCTCCCTTCTATCCTAATTATAAGAGTTAGTTAACTAATTTGAGGAGATTAAAAAAACAAGTTAAGTTAGTTATTTGTAATAAATAGATATTGTCTTTCCTAAAATATCCTTGTTAATCAAATTTATTGATTAGAACTACCATTGTTAAATAGACTATCTTGAGAAATAATATATAAATATGAGAGACAAAATAGACCGGATATAGAATAATTTCTATTCGAGTTCTCAATCCCCAGAAAGTCTTTTGCTTTTGCTTTTGCTCTTATTACAATCTTCCCACATACAAACAATACGAGATTATCCCAAGAACTGTATGTCTCTGATTAATCGTCTGCAAATTAATTATACGCCTCACCGCCTTCATCTTCCTCTTGAATCATAACTTTCCGCCAGGAAAATTTATTTAAAAACAAAATTATGTAAAGGGACCAATTATGGAGAATTATGAAGATGATTTAACTGACATTGTGTGTGTTGGGAAATGACAAGTCTTTACTTAAAAATAATACGTTAAATATGTGGAATTAACAAGTTTATAATTAAAAATAGTAAACTAAGTTTTTTTGATATTATAAAAGTAGTTGTTGTCATGACCATATTAGGTTTTTGTCATTGGTTAAAAGAATGTTGTTATTTCTAATATAAATATTGTTATTGATATACTAATAATAACGAATTTTTTGTTTGTATTGCAAAAAATTGCTACTACACTGATGTTAATTTTTTTTTTTCAAATATAAACTTGTTATTTTTAATTATGAACTCGTTATTTTCTCTATAAAACTTGTCAATTTGTTATACTCGTTATTCTCAATTACTTAACAAACTTATTATTTTCAATTATGAACTTGTTATTCCCAACAATTTACCAAACTTGTTATTTCCTGTACCAAATTTATCAATCTATCATACTGAACTTGTTATTCCCAAGTACTTAATCAAATTGTTATTTATAATTATAAACTTGTTATTTTCTACGTAAAACTTGTCAATTTATCATACTCAAATTGTTATTCCCATCTATTTAACAAATTTATTATTTCTAATTATAAATTTGTTGCTAACGATGAGTCTAGTATGGAAAATAACAAGTGTTAAAAAACTAATCATACTAGCTTAAGCTTGATAAAATTTAAACCATCAAATTATATTTAAACCAAGTCAAATATCAAGATGAAAATAGCACAAATACTTTCTAGTCCATCACGCTGCCCTTTTCATGTTGCCCTTGAGCTTGGTTTCAACCTAACTATTACAAAGTCCATGTTCTATTTTGTTATCTCTTCCTACTAACTTGTTATTTTAAATAGTTAACTTGTTATTTTCATGATTTAACTTGTATTTCTATCAGTAGACTTTTTATTCTTCACTTGTTATTTACAATAGTGAATTTGTTATTTTCATATTCAATCTTATTATTTGAAATATATGTTATTTGCATAGTTGTGATTTGTTATACTTCACTTATTCTTTGAAGAGTTGAGTGTTAAATTTGTTGTCTATGTTAAAGGATTAGCTTTTTGCAATAACCTTATATGGTGGTTGGTCAACTATAAGTTCAATGAATAGCGTGATGATGCTTTGCAGCTTCTTCCATGGCCACGCAATGTTGGTGCATTTAACTTAGGCTTTAATATATTTGACTTTGCACTAATAATTACTCACTAATTGACCCCACCTAGTAGGATAAGGCTTTGTTGTTGTTGTACTAATAATTACTCAATACATTTATGAATTCTTAATGACAATTATGTATGTAAATGGGGAATGATATATAGCTAATTGCGCACATAAATTTACATTATTTCCAGCAAAAAAATTATGCATAGAGTATAGTTCCAGTGGTCACAATTAATATGTCTAACTCAAATGACTATAGATCTAAAAATCGTATTTAACAAGCCTTGTTATACTCAGGGACGGTAATTTTATTAATTCAAGAACCCAAATCTCAATTTTGTATATTTTAGGGTCTTTTTTTATGATTTTCTCAAATATTAATGTGAATAGATTTTTTAACAGGGACTTGAATTTTGACATGTCCTGTTCTTTAATAACTCGTTTGCTACACTCACTCTCTTTTGGTTTTTCTCTTCCACTTTTATTTCCTTGTTTTCTCTTGCTATGCAACCACATTTTCCTCCTATTTTTTTCCCCTCAATTCTCTCTTCCTCTTGCTTTTCTCTTTTCTTAAACATTACATTCTATAATGTCCAACTTTCTGATTGAAATTTCCGTGGCTATACCAACCCTCAACATCGTTGCCGGCCAAAATTCAAACCCGTTCCTCCGCACAGAAAAATGTTTAATCGATTTTAAGTATTACTCCTCCGGTCCTAATTATAAGACCCAATTGACTTATTTGAGGAGATTAAGGAAGTAAGTTAAGTTGGTTATTTATAATAAATAAGTGTTGTCATTCCTAAAATATCCTTGCTAATTAAGTATATTGGCTAAAACTATCATTATTAGAAGGATTATCTTGGAAAAAATGCATAAATATAAGAGATAAAATGGATTGGGGTCTTATAATTAAGACCAAATAAAAAGTCAAATTGGGTCTTATAATAAGGACCGGAGGAGTATAAGTTTTTAATATAAAAGCTCATTTAATTTTTATTTTAGTTCTTAATGCAAGATCCCAATATATTTTATTTCTTATATTTATCTATTTTTTAAGGTAGTCTTTGTAATAAAAACAAATATTCTAGCTAATACACTTGATTAACAAGTATATTTTAGGAAAGACAATATTATTTATTATAACTAACTAACTTAATTAATTTTTTTAATCTACTCAAATTAGTTAACTAGCTTTTATATTAATAATAAAAAGTAATAGTTGAAAAAAAAAAAACAAAAGCTCAACCGTGCAAAGCAAAAACTATTGGTAAGTTAGTAGAAAATAGAAAAGATCCCGAGGACAATTATTTGATACTGGCAATCCATGAGCGTGCATGAAGACAAAAACCACGAACTTATCGTCACTAATGAAAAATGATTCCAAAAAGAAAAGCTTTTCACGGGCTCACTGTACACATTGTGATGAAAATTTTCAGCCGCATAAAGTAGGAAGAATTATTATAAAATTGTAAATAAAAAAAAATATAATCATTAAAAAGTCCCACTAATAATATAACAGCATCCAACGACAAATCTCAAGATAATAAACGATACTCCTTCCGGTTCAAAATATAAACTAAATTTTATTCATTATGTTTATCAAGAAATTAATTAAAATCAATTTAAAACAACAAATACGTAAAGCATATATTTATTTTTCTTAATATAGCTTTGTTAATAAAGAGAATAAATAAAAGATGTAATAAATGAATTAAAGAGAAAAATATAGAGGTAAAATTAAAAAAAACTCATTAAATATTCAGACAAAAATAAATATCATCTTATAAAAAACAATTTTTTTTGAGAAAATTTAGTTTTTATTTTGAACATGAGGGCGTAGTATTCTCTTGTTTGGATCTGATTA